GATACCCCCGAGGAGAAACCGCGCGGCAGCGAGACCCACCGCTTGTCAGCGGGTACCTACGGAAAAGACGGGATGACGCTGATGACCACCCGGTTTGGTTCGAGTTTTATTCCGGACCCGGGAGAAAGAGCCTCCCGCAGCAGCAGTGACGGTGCAGCCCCACGGAGCGCGAAGTGAATCCCCTTTGGCAAGCGGCTCCATCTCGTTTCAACCATTTCGCAGGGTTTTTAGCTCTTTCGGAGCGGTGGAAGGGGTTTTCCAGGGAGGGCTGGTGCTGGCTGCCCGCCCTGGCACCCCACTGGCTGCCCATCCAGGCAGCTTAGGAAGGAGAGGAACAACCCCAACCCTTGTTTCGCCCCACTGCTGGCTCCAAGTGTTTGCTTGGGTGTTTTGGAAGAGCCTGAGTCGTGGCTACTTCCCTTCTTCTCAGCAACAAGGGAATTTAAGACCTTCCTACAGTTCATCCCCTCGGTGCCGTACTGGTACATGCACTGGTGGGGCTGGGCTGGCAATACGATGGGTGAAGAACTCCGGGTTAAATATAATCCTTCCTCCTTTTTCTTTTCCGAGGGCTGTATTTAACCCGGATTTCCCTGAGCCAGTCGGCTCGCTGGGGTGTGGTTGCTCTGCTTAGAAACCACCTGAGCAACCTGCTCTTTTGCTTCTCATGAGGTTAAAGATTATGCCTTATCCTGCAACGACATCCCATTTTAATTTTTTATTTCCCCTGTCTATTAACGAGAGGATCTGCTCCGAGATCCCAGCACGGGAGGAAAAATGTTTCTGTTAGAAGTGTATTAAGTATTTCTTGGGCTTCAAGGAGACCTCAGTTATCTTTGGCTTTTATACCTCAAGCTCTGTCCTCTTGTTCTCCTTGGTGTGGTTTTTATCTGGAGTAACAGAACTGGTTCTGCGCTGGAGGAAGCAGCGACCGCCGCGTGCGCTCCGAGCGCAGCGAACGCTAACGAGGGCTGGGGAGCGCTGACGAACCCTCTCTGAAAAAAGACACAACTTCAAAGAGTGAGCGTCACTTTTCATCTCCATTTAAGTTTCCTTTCCTAGGATTGGCTTTCTCAGCTTCCTATTCATCTTCCAGCACTTCAGAGTCAGGTTTTCATTTGTAATAAGAGCAAGCAGGGGTGGGAGGAGGGGGGAAAAAAAAAAATATCTGTAGAAAACTGATTTTCTTTTTGTCTGGTTCTTTAATTAATCATTAGCGTTTCTTTTGGAGTCTCATCTTTTGACATCAGCATCAGGTTTTTAGGGGTTAAAAACCCAAATCCTTGCTGCTAAATCCTAGACTGCTCAAACAGCACCGGCAGGAGGCACAAATTAGGAATAGCCACGTTAAAGCATTTTGGGGGTTTGGTTTTAAATGGCATTTGCTAAACCTGCCTCGGAACAGCAATGCCCACAGCCAATTAATGCCACCTAACGAGGGCGTGTGGCCTGCTGGGCAGAGGTGGAGAAGTCTCTGTAGCCACCCATATTACCCCAGCAATTAGTGTAAAAATTCACCATCGAGAGGATTTCTTTGAAAGCAAAGTGACTTTTCTGGTTAAAAGTTCAAAGGCTTTTCCAGAGGGGACTAAGGCTTTTCCTGGAGGGAACAGGGTGTTTGGGGGGGGTGTAGCCATGCTGGAGGGGTTACATTCTTCTTCTTTGGGACGATCCTGCGCATGGGCATCTCCCTCAGGCACTGGGGGTGCTGCCTCGTGGATGGGGAAGGCAGTTTTTTTGGGGAGGGCAGAACTGGAGCTGCGTCTCCATCACTTCTGTGCCAGTTTGGTGACGAGAGCTTTCCACTCCGATCTCTTCTGCGTGATGTAGGAGGGGGTGAGGAGCTGCAGCAAAGGCTCCGGCCGGTCCCTGAAGTATCCCTGACACAGAGCCTCCGCGTTGCAGATCACGTACATCCCACAGTCGTAGCTGTTCTGCTGGGCGGGCGCCTTCTCCTCCACGAAGGTTACTTTGCCTCCTCTCGTGGCCAAGAAGGCCTCCAGCTTCCCCGCCACTTGCTTGGCGTGGACAGAGTTGCATTTACTGTGGGAATCGTAATGGGAGAAGCACTTTTTGTCCCTGAAATAAACCAGTAAGCTCCAGTGGGTGCCCCCAGCGACCTGGTTGGAGTTATCGTTGATAGGTAAGAACACCAGCTTCTTGTGGAGAAGGTCCAGTGGTTGAAGGAATATGGCTATTTCTTCCTGGCTAAGGGCACATTTAATGAACTGAGCCACTTCGGGGCCGATGAAACAAACCTGATTGCTGAATTCTTGGAACTGGTGGTTGGCGAAGTACTCGAAGGCGAAGCCGATGATGTGATCGTTAAGCCAGCTGGGGGGTTCCAGCAAGGCGACGTCCGACTGCCGCAGCAAACTGTCCATGTAGCTGAGAACAACGGGGTCCATCCTGCGCGAGTCGGGGCCGCGGCGCTCCGGGAGACGTCAAAAGCTGGAACAGAGAACGGGCAGAAGATGAATTAAGGAATTAGATCACACCTCCGACAAGCTACAGCACAACAAATATCTCGAGTTCCTTCTCAGCCCAGGCTTCCCAGACGGGTATTTGAAGGACCATCTGCCAGGTGGGCAGACGGAGGACACGCAGCTCCTCATCCACAGCTCGTGATGGGTTGAGCTGGGCTCTTCTGCTGCTCCAGGAGCAGTGCGTGGCTCCGAGGAGATCAACGTTTCATTGTCACGCTCCTAACCTCAAAGCCAAGTGATTTCAAAGCAGTTCCTCCTCGGGGACTGCAGGCACGCCTTCGGATCTGTTCTTCACACAGAAAACAAGCATCATCTGGGAGAAGGCAGTTGGTGTTTCGGTGTTGCAGTGTTTCACCTGCACAGTGACAATCAGCAGTAACTCTTTGCATGGCGGGCGTTCCTTAAATAAAAGTCTTTTTGGGGCTGTCTGACGGGCATGCGCTCTCCTTCCGCCTGGCAGATAGTGCCACAGCTCGGTGCCAGACGCATGACCTGTTCCAGGAAAACCTGCTGGAGGAGGCAAGGCGGCGGTGAGTAAGGAGAAACAAAGCAAAACAAGATCACAAACCAACCAGTTCCCTACCGTGGGAATCCTTAGGACAACTGTCTACGTGCCGGTAAAGATTTAAACAACTCGAGTGCCACCAAAGCTGGACGCTCTGCAAAACACCCATTGTTTTTAGCTCGGGTTTTAACTTGCCAAAATTTTGCTCCCAAAAGGAGAAAGCACCCGTGGGTGTGCTGAGGGGTGAAGATCCCTGCAGGCTTCCACCGGTGATGTCCGCTTGCAGACAGGAGTGACGGGTCACGCTGACCCACTCTTTGCAATCTTTCACTCAGTTATTTGTCCAGGCTGCGTTCTTCCCTCTGAATCTGCGTCTGCTTCCCACAAACAGCAGCTGCTTCTCCTTAAAAAAGCTGCCTGGAAATTCAAGTAGCCTGTAGCACCTTGTTCTCCCCACCCATGCGTTTGAGGACGTACTCAAGGGACTTGCAGACAAGACTTCTCCCGACTCCTTTCCTTTCAAGTTATCCAGGTATCCACTAATTCTGGTCTTTCTACCAGTTGTATAATTCTCTTTCAGCAGCTCTTGCGTTTGCTGCCTGCCCGTCCTGGGGGGATTAAAGTGTGTGTTAAGAAAGAGGTTGCACAGCATGCTAGAAGGTGTAGCTACTCAATAGATAACACAAAATACTCGCTGGCATCAGACTAGGATTTAGGAGGAGATCTTCCAAAGAGAAACTGCTGATTTAAACCCTCTATGTCCACCCTGGTTTTACTTTTGCTCTCCTGGCTTGGGCTCCTCAGCTGCTGCGATGCACCGTCAGCCCCCGACGCTTCTCTCTTGGCCAGGACAGGGCTGGAGACGCCGCAGCTGGGGACAGCGGGGACGTGGAGCTGGTTTGGCCTCACCCTTTCCTCATCTGTGCCAAACACAGCATGAAAACATCTTAGGGATTCCTAAAGCACCGTGTGAAAACCAATAACGATAAGATCACCTTAATATGATTCACTCTAAATAAGACATTATGCAAATAAAATAAAAAAGTCGCATGTGTTGTGCTGTTTACATGTCAGGAAGAAGTAGATATGTGCTGCTTCTTGTGACATGAATCATGAAAAAATTCCTTCCTGGCCAGGTATGCATAAATGAAGAGAGATTTATCTCCAAAAACTCTTGGCAAGGTCCCATCGCATGTGACTCGTAAATAACAGGCTGGGTGAAGCACGCTGCATGTGTCACATGTTGGGAGGAAGGGCCGAGGTAGAGGATGTGGGGCTTGAAAAAGCTAATAGCTATTTGTGGATCGCTGATGGATCCAGGACGCACCAAGCAGAGTCACTGGGAAGGAAGGGGAGCAGTCGTGGTTATTTACGCTGAGCCAAACACCATGGTATTTGGACACGCTGCCTACGTTCACCAGCTCCAACTATTCCCGTGTTTGTGGAGCAGATCCTTTGCAACAGCCTGCAGTATAAAACCAAACCAAAAATCTAAACTAAGTCCCAGCAGCTCCACAGCATGCCTCAGTGTAGTCTTGTTTCAAGAGCTCTGCACCCTGCGAGCCCAGAAGCAACCAGTTTGTGGGTTTAACAGGGTCACTGCTGAAACATTTGTTGCATGTGCCCATACGGTGCCTTGAATTTTCCTTTACTGCGTGTTTTTTCTGCTTTGCCTTCTGCTGGAGATGTGGGAAATACAGCAAACAGCTTTCCACTCGAGTCCGAACGGGATTACGGGCTAGGGAAGGAAGCGCGCGTCCTGCATGCTGTTAATTCTCCACTCTGCAGAAACATGGTTTTGGTGGGTTTTTTTCAGTCGAGGATTAAAAAAAATAAAAAAAAAAAAAAAAGACATTTGGCAGCTTCCTACAGTCAGGAAGGGCGAATGGTTATAGCAAATGCTTAATTGCCACTAGCTACTACTTTTAATTTTATTGCCATCTGGTATTTGTGAAACTGCTTGTGAGTTCTGCGGGATGACTCACCGCGCGCAGCGAAAAGGAAAACCCTCCGCGGGCTCGGACGCCTTCCAGAGGCACTTCAGGTCGGAGGCGAGGGCCGAGAAAAGCCACCAAAACCAAAAAAAGTTGATTTGTTCGGGTGAACCTTCCCATTAAAGCGAAAGGTGAATCTGTAGAGCAGCCAGGACGTGGATTAAGCATCTGTGACGTGAAGGGGTGTTGAAATCCAGTCGCGGCTCGCAGGCAGCTCTGCTCAGACACAGCCAGGATCTGCTTCCCGAAGGCTCCGGCACACTCTGTTCAGGAGTTTTCGTAAAAATAGGAATAAACACTGACACAGGCCCCGTGGAACATTTGTTGTAGGTTGCCAACAAGAGCCGTGCTCGTTGGTTTTATTTGCATACCAGTAGCTGGAATTCGTGCAAACTCTCTGTAATCCTCAGCTTCTCGGAGGGATGTTCATCCGCCCCGTTCTGAGCGCCGAGATGAGAGCACCGAGGAGAGGAAAAGGAGCCTTTCAATAAAAAAGTCATCGAGCCAACCTAAATGAAAGCACCCATCTCACTTGGAGATTTGAGAACGGTGCCATCTTGCAGCAATATGGCCAGAAGTCGAGTTTCTCGCACCCCATCTCACCGCCAGCACGATTTCACGAACAAGCTGCCGTCGTTAGCGCAAGTTCCATCCAGAAACTGATGGGACTCCAGTGTCCAGGATGCACGGCGCAGCCTGCGTTTTGTAATACTTGGCAACAACAAAAAAAACCCCAAACTTATTATTTTCACAGCGTTAAAGACAACCACCTTCTGCATGTCGTTGTTGCCTTGCACTCCGGAGGCAGGGAATGAAATTCCCTAGTCATTGAGCGTAAGTAGGCAGCGACGGAGCAAAGAGAGCATGAATTAAGGATGAATCAGAGTCCTAAAGTCTATTTTTAATAAATTAAAGACGCTAAGAACATCCAGAGTGAATATTTTGAGGTGCCACGTCGCTCAGGTCCTGCGCCAAATTTGAAGAATATGGAGGTAAATACAAAAAGCCACCTGAAGGACAGATTATTCAGACTTTATGAAGGGAAGAGTTGGAGGGACAGGGAAGTTCTCAGCTGCTTGGCCGAAGTCTTTGGAACAATCAAGAGTAAAAGACGCCGCAATTTAACTGCCATTCCTTTTTACTGGGAATCCAGTTTTCAGACCGTGTGTCATTAATGGCAGCAAGATCAGACAAGAAACATCAATTTCTCTTGATGACCTGAGTCTCCTCACTTCTGGGTCTCCTAACGGAGCCAGAGAAGAAACTCAAGCAAAAGGAAACAACGGAGCCAGAAAAGAAGCATACCTGCCTACTCTTTTGGTAAAAATACGGAATCTCTTTGTGGCCTATGGATTATAATTCCTGTATGGTAGGAGAACAGAGCCTCGGTGGGTTCAACAGGCCCAAAACACCAGACTGAGAGGGAAACATTCAGAATTCCTGTACACACAGACAATCCCCAAACCTGTCCGTTCTTCACAAATTCCCCAAACCAGACACGCGCGGCAGTTCCGCACAACCAAGCTCCAGCACCTGGCTTCGTTTCCCAACGTCTTATGGGGCAGCAAGCTAAAATCTGGAGGAACTACCCCAGATGCCACTCAGTCCAACGTGGTTTGCTCCGCAGGATGGGCTTGGCCAAAGCGTTGAGTTTAACAGGAAAAAAAAACAGTGACCTGAGTGGCAGAGGACAAGGGATGCCACCGAGATTCTCCCGGAGGTAACGATGGAAACCTGATGGGAAACCACTCAGTTCATGGAAACGATATTAAACCGGGCGTCGAGGGATCCCGTTCACCTGCTTGGAGAAAGAGTTTGTTCCGGAGAGTAGCGGGAAGTGCTGGGAAGGAGTATCGTTTGCCTGGAAGACCTAAAACTGGTGGGAATCTGGTCTGGAGGAGGAATTTGGTCCGAAGAACGGATTAGGGATGTCACTGCTCTGTGGAGACACGGCCCGGGCGGAGGAGCGACGTGCCTGACCCCGAGCTTCTGCCGGCACGGTGCCGGTCGGGATCAGCACAGGCGAGCAGCCCCCCGGGAAGAGCTCGCTCGTCCCGCTGCTGCTTCCAAGGAAATAAACGAGGATTAAGGGGAGAGGGGAGGGCTCGCCCGGGCCGGGGCTGGGGCGGGGAGCAGGGCCTGGCCCGAGCCCACCCAGGCCAAGCAGTGCCCGGGCAGCCCGGGCTCCACCCCCGGTGCCGGTACCGCGGCTCTACGTTTAACGATTCGTAACTGTTTTCCCTCCAAACACGCG